CACGCTGTTCGGCGGAACCGAGTTCCATGGGAACTGGTCCGTTGGGGCTTGTTCGACCGGGAGCCGACAAGGAACTCCCAGGCCACGCTGAGGCCGGCGTACGCGCCTGGCGATGGCTGTATTCTTCTTGAAGAGCCACTTGAATCGCCTCTTCAAGGGTGTTTGCCTGCACCCGGAACAGCTGAGTGCGTGCGGGGCCCACTCGAAGGCCGTCCATGAACACAGTCATCTTGATGTGTTCATTGAGTGGGTTTCCCACTAGGGACGCCGTGAGCTCCCGTATCTCTTGCACATACTCGTGCAGTTCGCGTCTTCCTTGTTTACACGCGAGGAAGCGCGAACGCTGGCGGTACTCGTAGTTCGCCGGGAGGAACGCGGCTCGGAGCTGTTCGCACAGCTGAGCCCAGGATGTGAAACATCCAGGGGATGTCGCTTCCCGAGTGTACACCCAACTCTTAGCACGACCGCTAAGGTTGGAGAGTGCAAAAGCAACACGCAGTTGCTCGGTCGAGATCAGAGCCGCGTCCATCGCGAGCTCTACTTCTCGGACCCAGAAGTGAAGGTTCTCGCCTTCCTTCCCTTCATACGGCTTTACCTTCAGCCGTATTGGCTTCGGGTGAGGCGGGTTTGCTCCCGCCGCCGGAGCCTGCAGGTTCTCCCGCACATGCGCGATGAGGCCCTGCTCGTACGCGTCGAATGCATTGACGCGCTCGAGCTGCTCAGCCGGTGCTGATACCACCAGGCTCTGCAGGGCCTCCATCCCGAAGATGCCTGCCATCTTCCGAACCGACTCGAACTGAGAGTCGTTCATATGGGAGAAGTCGTTCCTATCCATGGCAACGAACTTCGGAGGTTCAGGTAGTCTACCCGCGATGGCGTGGATTGACTACAAGTGCTACGAAGTGTGACGGGGTCACACAGCACCTTGCGCTAGAGGAAGTTATCTTCCGAGAGTATACAAACTCTCAGTGAACGGCAGTTCACAGGTCCCCTCTTTAATTAAAGAGAGCGAAGTGACCTAAATAAGGTAGATTGTAAACTGAGTATATTTATAGGTAGGTTAAGTTTGAGGTTAATACAAACTATCAGTTACCTATAGTAATGCAATGTCATTTAACCAATGGTTGGTTTTGAATGACCTTGGTACCTTGTACCAAATATCCCGGAGTATGACATGTCATACTCCTGAAGTGTGAAGTGTCACACTTTCATGTAACCAGGGTACACTTAGTGCTACGTACCCCGTTACAGGCACCGCCGGCACCGCCGGCACGGGTGCTTCGACGAAGCAGACAGGTTATCGCATGCTGTGGTCGCAGTGAGCCGAGGAATAGTGTCTTGTTGACTACTTCTCCTGGCTACGTTGATCAGCTCTTAGATCATCTCGCTCAAAAAGGCGATCTGCCGATATCTGTGTATAATTTTTAATAGCGTCGTGTAGTAAAAAAATACATGTGCTGTTGTTTCTCATTGCTGTCGGGTTTTGCTTCTTTATGCGTCGTTTGCAGTTAGTAAGTATCTTATCAATCTAATTTGCTGAATGTTTGGTGCGTAGAGCACTTTTTGAGTCCGAATTATACTATGTTTAGTAACTGTGATATTGAAGTTGCACTCGAGAAAGGCAACTTGCTGCTTTTGTGAGTACATGAGCAAAAGAAAGCATCAAGTTGCTTAGCTCAGGATTCTAGCGCACTCTTGCGTGCTGGCTGCATTATTGACCAGCTCCCGGCCGTCTGCACCGGCCCCGTATCTATTTAAGAGCAGTCATGACCGTGTCAGCTGCGTGACGGTCATTGGAGGCACATGTTACTTAGAGTTTGGCCTTTGCAAGAACCTACAATGTAAGCATACCGGTACATATGGGCCTCCGCATACTAGCAAAATGCTGGTCATCATGGCGTCCAAAAAGACCTTGTCCCTGTCGATTGTGTGTCTATACCAAGTAGACTCCTCGCACGCAGTGTGCTCTCTTATACCTTCCTGCCTTGTACACATGATCTAGACGACCGTCAATCCGGAGCCGACGGAAAAGGTTGCCGAGTGGCGCCGTCCAGAGCTCATTTCCCATTCTCCTCACTCGAGCTCACATCAAACAGCTCTCGTGCATTCGAAGGCTGTCCAAGAACACGCAAGCGCAACATGTTCAGCAGTAGCAAGATCGCCGCCGTGTGCCTCGCCGTCGTGGCGCTAACCAACAGCGCGTATGCTGAGAAGGAGGCCGCCCAGACGTTCGGACTGCTTGGCGCTGGTCTGCACGGTGGTGCGGGACTCTATGGAGCTGGCGCTGCCGGTCCTCACGGTGGAGCCGGCGTTGGTGCTGGTCTGTACGGTCGAGGTGCCGGCTATGGTGGTGCTGGCGCTGGTCTGTACGGTCGAGGTGCTGGTGGCGTTGGTGCTGGGCTGTACGGTCGAGATGCCGGCTATGGTGGTGCTGGCGCTGGTCTGTACGGTCGAGGTGCTGGTGGCGTTGGTGCTGGGCTGTACGGTCGAGATGCCGGCTATGGTGGTGCTGGTGCTGGGCTGTTTGGTCGGGGAGCCGGCTACGGAGGCGCTGGTGCTGGGGTCGGAGCTGGCGTTGGCGGCGCGGGCCTCGGTAACGGATACGGCGGTGCTGGTGTCGGAGGAACTACGGGTGTCGGTGCTGGTGCCGGTGTCGGAGGTGGTGTGAGTGGCAACGTCGGTGCTGGAGTGGGCGTGGGCGGTAATGTTGCTGTCGGCGCTGGTGTGGGCGGGGCTGCGAACGGTGGAGTGAGTGCCAATGCTGGTGTCGGTGCGTCCGCGGGAGTGAGTGGGAACACTGGTGTTGGAGTCGGAGGTGGAGCGAGTGGAGGTGCTAACGGTGGAGTGAGCGCCAATGCTGGTGTCGGAGGTGGTGTCGGCGGATCGGCCGGTGTGGGAGGAGCGGCAAGTACTGGTACGGGTGGAGCTACGACAACGATGGACGGCTAAATCTAGCACATCTACTTCGCAGAGCGGCGGGGCAAGGCAATGCAATTACCCGGATGCAGCACGACCACCGGCACCCGCCGGCACGGGTGCTTCCACGAAGCAGACAGGTTATCGCATGCTGCGGTCGCAGTGAGCCGAGGAATAGTGTCTTGTTGACTTCTTCTCCTGGCTACGTTGTTCAGCTCTTAACTCATCTCGCTCAAGAGGCGAGCTGTCGATATCTGTGTATAATTTGTAATACCGTCGTGTAGTAAGAAAATGAATTTGCTGTTGTTTCTCATTGCTATCGGGTTTTGCTTCTTTATGCGTCGCTTGCAGTTAGTAAGCATCTTATCAATCTAATTTGCCGAATGTTTGGTGCGTAGAGCACTTTTTGAGTCCGAATAATACTAGATTTTGAGTGGATGATGTTGAAGCTTTACCAACTTGCTGCTTTTGTGAGTACATGAGCAAAAGAAAGCATCAAGTTGCTTAGCTCAGAATTCTAGCGCACTGTTGCGTGCTGGCTGCATTATTGACCATCTCCCGGCCGTCTGCACCGAGCCCGTATCCATTTAAGAGCAGTCATGACCGTGTCAGCTGCGTGACGGTCATTGGAGGCACATGTTACTTAGAGTTTGGCCTTTGCAAGAACCTACAATGTAAGCATACCGGTACATATGGGCCTCCGCATACTAGCAAAATGCTGGTCATCATGGCGTCCAAAAAGACCTTGTCCCTGTCGATTGTGTGTCTATACCAAGTAGACTCCTCGCACGCAGTGTGCTCTCTTATACCTTCCTGCCTTGTACACATGATCTAGACGACCGTCAATCCGGAGCCGACGGAAAAGGTTGCCGAGTGGCGCCGTCCAGAGCTCATTTCCCATTCTCCTCACTCGAGCTCACATCAAACAGCTCTCGTGCATTCGAAGGCTGTCCAAGAACACGCAAGCGCAACATGTTCAGCAGTAGCAAGATCGCCGCCGTGTGCCTCGCCGTCGTGGCGCTAACCAACAGCGCGTATGCTGAGAAGGAGGCCGCCCAGACGTTCGGACTGCTTGGCGCTGGTCTGCACGGTGGTGCGGGACTCTATGGAGCTGGCGCTGCCGGTCTTCACGGTGGAGCCGGCGTTGGTGCTGGTCTGTACGGTCGAGGTGCCGGCTATGGTGGTGCTGGTGCTGGTCTGTACGGTCGAGGTGCTGGTGGCGTTGGTGCTGGGCTGTACGGTCGAGGCGCCGGATATGGTGGTGCTGGTGCTGGGCTGTTTGGTCGGGGAGCCGGCTACGGTGGCGCTGGTGCTGGGGTCGGAGCTGGCGTTGGCGGTGCGGGCGTCGGTAACGGATACGGCGGTGCTGGTGTCGGAGGAACTACGGGTGTCGGTGCTGGTGTCGGAGGAACTACGGGTGTCGGTGCTGGTGCCGGTGTCGGAGGTGGTGTGAGTGGTAACGTCGGTGCTGGCGTGGGCGTGGGCGGTAATGCTGCTGTCGGCGCTGGTGTGGGCTGGGCTGCGAACGGTGGAGTGAGTGCCAATGCTGGTGTCGGCGCGGGAGTGAGTGGGAACACTGGTGCTGGAGTCGGAGGTGGAGCGAGTGGAGGTGCTAACGGTGGAGTGAGCGCCAATGCTGGTGTCGGAGGTGGTGTCGGCGGATCGGCCGGTGTGGGAGGAGCGGCAAGTACTGGTACGGGTGGAGCTACGACAACGATGGACGGCAAAACTAGCACATCTACTTCGCAGAACGGCGGGGCTAAGGCAACTGCAACTACCACGACTGCAGGCACGACCACCGGCACCGCCGGCACGGGTGCTTCGACGAAGCAGACAGGTTATCGCATGCTGCGGTCGCGGTGAGCCGAGGAATAGTGTCTTGCTGACTACTTCTCCTGGCTACGTTGATCAGCTCTTAGCTCATCTCGCTCAAAGAGGCGACCTGCCGATATCTGTGTATAATTGTTAGTACCGTCGTGTTTTAAGAAAATAAATGTGCTGCTGTTTCTTATGATTCTCGACTTACTGCGTCCTACCTTTTTTTCAACAAAAAGCTGCATAACTTTAACATCGTGGCAAATATAGCATCGAGTTTTCTTCAGCTTTTTAGCGCGTAAACACAAAATTATCCTGCTAACTGTAGCAGGATATAACAAAAGAGCACTTATTACTTACCAGCTGTGAGGGGGGGGGGTCAACTGCTACCATGCTCAAGCTACTATGATTATTTTGACGTCTACTATTGCGTGCGCTGGACAACGATGTTTTCTAAGCTTATCTATAGTAGGTAACCCCTTTCCGAGCGCGGTAGTCGACACTTGCAAGTAGAAGAGCAGTCACACAAATACCGGCACCATACTTCATGGAATAGAAGGATAAGAACGAAAATATACTGATCTTATAAATACGCGACGAAGCCTACGCAGCTACTGAAGGACATGTATACCGTATCACACAAACTGTCGGGCTGTACATCTACACGGTACTTGCTCCATTGAGTAAATACAGTACGGTGAGTAAGTGCCACCAGTACATACCGGTAGTCATAAAGAAGTTTGGCATACATGCTTAGCTTTACTTAGTGATGCGGGCAAAACAGAAAATCGAGCAGTGTTACATGTAATAGTAATATTATTAGAGTATCCTGGTGTCCCTCCTAAGGAAGCTTCTTCTATCCATGAATCGTTTTTTCATCCTCTCTCAATCCCTTTTTTGCTGGCTCGATACTTCGATCTATCTACGAACTAAAATTTCACATTAAGCGCTCTCCCATTTGCCCTAAGATGGCAGGTAGCTTATGTTAATTTGTCACTGTTCTAACAAGCGATAATTGAGGACATCAAACGGAAAGCTTATAACACATTTGCAACTTGGAAGTGCCCATATTGACATTAGATTGAAATAAGAATGAGCTGAACCTTTTCGTGATTTACTTAGCCACCAGTTCGTTTCAGCTTCTTATTTTTAAAGAGTTTGAAAATCTCTCAATAATAGCCCTTCATTAATAATAAGAAATGAGCCCCAAATATGTTCATGAATGAGCTTGTAAAACAACACTAATATATTGACGCAATTCTCTTTTTTTCATGTTTGGTAGCGTATTTATTCTACTGTTATTATTGAAATGATACTTTCAATTAATGAAAATTTAAATATAACGATATTGAAAGACAACTAAACCTCTCTTGCGTCATAAAAAAATACGCTCCTCTGATTGGTTTATTCATCTCGGCAAAGTTTGTGAATGAACCCTTTCCCTATTTTAGAAACTGTCCGCTCGTCCACCAGCTCCAGCCAGCCATCGGGCTCACTTCGTCCCGTCCGCAATGCTGGCCATGGCACCACGCGCCGCGGAGCTGACGCCTGCGTCGTCCCGACTCCCATCGCCCGCGCCTCCGTCCTTTAAGCACGCAAAGGTGCCGACCAATAGTGCGAAAACTAGCCTGAACGAAACCGCCAACCCTGTGTCAAGCAACGGGTTGCTCCCTTTCAAGGCGCAATGCAAATCGGCTGTTGTCTTGGTAAACGAGCGCCGCATTGACTTCGTGCGTGCCAAGAACGTGCGTGTAATTGGTCGGTTGGACGGCAACTCCAGTGAAACTAAGCCCAAGAAGAAGGAGACAAAAGAAATCACTAGCAACGACTCGGTGGAGCGCGTACTCGCATGGAAACACTCGAAGAAGATCGGCCCGGGTTTCGCCAACTTGGGCAACACGTGCTACCTCAACTCGGTGTTGCAGTGCCTGACCTACACTCCGTGTTTCGCGCAATTCCTGCTGGACAAAGAGGTTTTTGCTTCCTTTAACAGCGGCGCGTTGCCATCAACTGGCAACAAGTTCAACAAAAAATTCGGCAAAAATGGGTTCAGTGGCAACAGTGGAAATGCAGGTGGCAACGGCTTTTGTAGTGTGCGCGCCATGTCCAGACTGTTGCAGTCAGTGCACGGCAACAACGCCGTGCGGGTGTTGCAACCCAAGGAACTGGTGATGAACGTGCGCCACATTTCCAAAAGCTTCCGCATCGGGCGGCAGGAAGATTCCCACGAGTTTTTCAGGCTGCTGCTGGACTCCATGCAGCGGTCGTGTCTACGCAAGGCGCACATCAAGAGCGAAAGCCACTCGGCGGCGTCCACGACGTTTGTGTACCGCATGTTTGGCGGCAAGTTGAAAAATCACCTCAAATGTGCCAAGTGCGGATTCGTTTCCGAACGATTCGACGATTTTCTGGATTTATCACTGGAAATTTCGAATGGCGTCCACAGCGTCAAAGGTGCGTTGCGCCACTTCACCGCCATTGAGAAACTGGACGAACGCAACGCGTGGAAATGCTCCAGTTGCGGCAAACCCAGTCGCGCCGAGAAGGGGCTTTCCATCGCCGAGTGCCCCAATGTGCTCATGATTCAACTCAAGCGCTTTGACCTCATGTTTGGCAAAATTAAACGCCACATCGAGTTCCCTCGCTCACTGGACATAGCCTCGGGAATGAGCAAAAACTGCGAGGATCGTCGTCGTGGCCGTACTAAGTACGAATTGCATGCTGTGCTGGTTCATGCCGGTTTCTCGACGGACTGTGGCCACTACTATGCCTTCGTTAAGGGCTCATCAGGTCAATGGTACGAAATGAACGACGACTCTGTGCGATGGGTGAGTCTCGACACGGTGTTGCAACAGAAAGCCTATATGCTATTCTATTCGAGGGTGTTGCCTCCTTCAGAACGCCCGAAATCCAAGGCGAAGGAGGAGGAAGAGGTGAAAGCTAAAGCCAAAGAGGTGGTAAAGGCAGCTAGTCAGGAGGAAATACCCGAAAAGACGGCTGCGTCCAAGACGGTACTTGCCAAAACCAAGGAACTGGACATGAACGGGTTCCTTGCCAGTCTGAAGACAGCAGTGGCAACTGATGACAAACCTATGGCTGTGACTCCCGCCCATCACCAGACAGTGGTGACTTTCAAGGTCAAATCAAAACCGTCGAACGACACGCCAGTCGTTGCACGACCCCGAATAAAGCGCTCCTTAACACCTACTTTCGGTGGTCGTGTAGGTCGAATCCATAGATTTGGATCGGCCTCATGGAAATCGTGTCCCCGTCTTGTGATGACGCAATCGGTTAGGGAATTCCCAGAGGAATCCACTGTGGCGTCAAAAACTGTTGCCACTGTTGCAAAAACGTCAGGAATGACCAAAGTGCCGTTTGACCCGCGGCAACTAAAGAACGTGGGCGTACGCAACGCCGCGTTGTTTGGCCGTGAAGTGGATAAATGGACTGGCGAGACCGACGTCGAGTCCTCTGAGACCACGAGCAGCGACGTGGCAGTCGACAGTGCGCTGGCTGCCAAGCACGACCGTGTGCTCAACGCTCTGAAGCAAGAGGAGTGGAAACAGCGTAACGCTGGCCGTCAAGACTATTGGGATGAAACTCTCGACATCGGCAAGGTCAAGAAGGTGAAAAAGCGCAAGGAGTTTGTTGCCAACGAAGGCCGGAAGAACGCTTTCCAGACAGCTCTGATGCGCAAGAAAAAAGACGCTAAGCGACAGCGCACGGCCTAGATTTGGCAACTCACTAGACTCGGGATTCCGATGCACCATACAAAAACCAAATCAAAATTTGTTGGAAAAGTGTACCCATTTTTTTGCAAACCGAAGTCGAAAATGCAAACCGAAAAGGCACAATCCGAAACGACGCGCAAAAAATCGTGCAACTCACTAGATTATAATCAACCAAGTTGCCATGGATGCGGATGAGCAACAGTTTGTGGCCGACGAAGCGAGGCCAGAAGCTTACGAGGAGCCGATCATGTCGAATGAGGCCGAAAACCCGGAAACTGAGGAGACTGAGAACGTGTCCGTCGCTGACTATTCAGGAGAGCCGTCATCTAGCTCAAAGTTGGCGATGACTGAGTTTATCCGAGCGTCGTCCGAACAACTCGAAGGCTTTGAATTCTCTTTACTTGTAGTGCTACAGCCTGACAACGTGAGACACCGAGTGACTGTCACGGCCGAGACTACGATCGGAACGCTACGGAAGATGCTGTGCGCCGACTTACAGCTCACTTCTGAGCTTGTGAGCTTCCCCGATCTCCATGGTCTTAGCGATGCAGATCAAAAGGAGGAAAATCTACCGCTTTCAGCGTACGGATTACCTAATGGCAACTCGGAATGCACTCTCGAAGCTTACGTCGCCAGACCAGCCACCACAAGCAGCTACGTCATGCCAGACCGGATACAAGTCCAGGTTTACAATGGTGAGGCGTTCGATTTCTTTAAAAAAAAAATGCTGCTTTGTACTGATTTTGTAAAATAACGCAGAGGATACCGAAAGTACCAGTATTTTAACCGTTGAGATTGACAAGTTCACAGGCCACAAATTGTACCTCGGAGGCTTCAAACACCGTAAAACGCTACAACAATTTCATCACGCCTCCACTCAGGTACAGTATCCAATATTTTCTCTACAATAGCAGTGTCTTATACCACTGTCTCCAGACTGTTTTATCACGAGCGCGTCACAATATGGGTCCGGGACGTTTCCACCGCGAGACCCAAACACAGCAACTCGTGACGCGCTCCTTGCAGACCCACCGGGAGTCCGGCACTCAAATGTCTCGACGGGATCTTAAGCTAGACGAGTCCTTCGATCGCCACGTAACTGCACATCCTTACTTTGATTCGTACCAACTAGACAGTCTACGAGAAGACTCTGTGCTTCTCTTGCAGCGTCTGTGGCGCGGGTTTCGCGCTCGACTTTACGTCTTTAGTATACGTGAACAGCGTCGTCGTGTGAGTACACTCGCAGAGATCGAAGCCCAAGAGAACGACGCTGATGACGTGAGTCGTCAACGTCGTGAAGTCAACCGTCGCATGCACCCAAACACGGTGAGTGACTTTGAGATTCTCTACAATGAACTCGAAAAATGGCGACAGGTTGAATGTCGGAAAGTTCGTGAGCAACGAGAACTGGATCCGTCCGAGAGACAGGACGCTCTTGACGCCATTCTGGCCAAAGAGACCAAACTGCTTCAGACGATTGACAGACTCAAGTTAACGGCAACAGAGGCCAACCGTAAGCAACGTATTGAAGCCATGCTGCAGTTTATGGCACGTCCGAAGCAGTGGGAGATGAGTGACGGAGGTGTAAAAGAGGTGCACACACCGTTCACTGTTCGCGCCAAAGAGCTCACGGATCTGTACCATGGTCTACGTACACCACTCAGTTCAGTGGACGAACGCTTGGACATGTTGCTGCATATCAAGTGGACAGTGCAAGAGTTCGACTGTGCTCTCACTCGAGAGCTAGTGGAGCTTATTGACCGTGAGGCGGATATGCTCAGTCGTGGACGGAAGGAGAAGAGTCTTGAGGGGCTACGCAAACGCCTCACAAACCTCTTTCTGCAGTTTATAGAGACTCCAGAATTCAATCCGGAGGCAGCAGCACTCAAACACTCGCGCTCTTAAATAACAAAATTTGCGTATTTTTCAAGTATTTTGATAAAAATTAGATGGACATTTTTCTAAAGCGTTCACTCTAGCAAATGTTTTGACAGGTGTCAGTACATGAACAATTTGAAGCCGGTATTGTCGGTATATGAAGGGGGAGGGGGGGGGGCACATTACCGATATATCAATCGAGCTCGGTATTTAAAAAAAAACACTTTTTGTAATAACGTTAAAAACAAAAAAATCCGAGTAGTTCAACCCTTAGCTGGGATGAGCTGCAACAGCCCGATGCAGGTTCTCGATTGCAAATGTATTTTCATCCGAAGCTGGTATGACTTTTCATCTTCATTTGAAAAACCTCATGAACTAGAGAAGTAGTTTGGCAAGTTCAGGGGTTTCAGGTTCGGTAATGACTCGCAGTTATTTCGCTAAAGGTCGCGAAATGGGAACGTGTTCGGACGTTACAACCGTATTACCTCTCCAATGAACCATTTTAGCCTCGATACCTCGAGTAATAAATTGGGGGAACCTTAATGATTGTTGTTACTGCAACAAAAGATTTAGTGTTATCTTTTGTATTTTTGCTGAATTTGCTGTAAATGAAACCGCATACTTTGCGACATTTGGAGTGCAGATGAGTGATTTTCTCTTTTAGACTTTACAAAATTCAGAAAAGGAATGGTTTGTCGATCAGTGGACATCAAGCTATCGGAGTCGCACGGGAAAATGGTGCGTGTACTGTTTCTTAGCTGCCCCCCTGTTCTCATGTCTAACTAGTGTCGATATACTTGTATTTGAATGCAGGGTCGCGCTTAGCTTTCGGACAGTCACGGCAGTCGGTATCTGAAGACGGCAGAACAAGATTAGGCGCGGCAACTTGTGTGGAAGGCGCAAGAGGTGAACGCTAAGTGCTTGCTCGCAGAAGGCAAGGAAATACCTATAACGACTCGTGAAGCGCTAGAGAAGCAGAGAGAAGAGAAGAAGCACTTGCAACGCTCGACTGGGGCGCTTGCGCTTGATTATCCCGAAAGCGAGGATAACGCGACAGGCGATGGTGGTAGTGACGATGGTTGGAGTGGGGATGATGTGAGTGACGCTGCTGCAAGTGGCGATGGCTCTTCATTCGATTTTAAGTTAAATAAAAGTGAAGACTCCGCTGAGAGTGGAGTCGACGCCTCTGCCGAGAAAGAGAGTAGCCACGACTTTGACGTGGTTGTTAGTGATCTACAAGATAATACACCACACACCTTACACGAATCTGCATCTGAAGAAGTTGAAATTCACCAGGTCCCGTTGATCGGCGAGCCATTAGAATCCGGAGAGATCCGTGGGGTCTACGCGATTTTCCACGCCGCTGACACGGATAGGAATCGTTTACACTGTATTTGATCATTTCTGCGAAGGTAGCTATCAGCGTTTTCCCGGGCGGTCGTCGACTTCGGTGGAAGATCAGAATAAGCAAATCAGGAACATAAAAAAGAAAGTTGGTGCTACAGAGATACCGGAGAGCTGGCGTCAGTACTCGAAGGCCTTGGTATGTTCCCGTGGATACAAGTGCACGCCGCGAAGTTCAAAGGAACAGCAGCACACATTAGTGCGTTACGTTGGCTGTACGGCAAGGATCAACGTGAGGATTACGTGGAATCTGTTTGCCGAGCCGAAGGGTTCCCGCAACCAACGCTGCTCGCGAGCGTAGTGATTTTACTACGAGGAGAATAGACGTATAATTGATCCTTTAGTGCGCGAAGACGTTTCGGCAATGCGAGCGCTGGCGCGCATGCTCGCGGCATCTTGAGCTAACTTCGAAAGCGTACGGGTACGAATTTGTATTTTTCTCACAACGTTTTTTGTTGAAGATGTTATTTTTTGTGGACTTAGGTAGTTAGACCGTGTACACGGAGGGGTATTCACAACATCATCCAAGAGCTAAAACAGGAAAGAAGACTTGCGACCTCGGACGAAGAGAGGGTCGAGAAGGGTCTTCTTAGATTTGCGAAGGCGATGTCGGCAACAGCGCGGAGATCCGCGTGGGCAAAACGTCGACTGTTGTTCAGACCGACGGATTTTAGTTAGCGAGGATGAAACGACTGTTTCGCGCGTTTCCTGAAGTTTTCTAGTCGACACTACTCATGCCACCAACCACAACAGATTCAAGCTGTTCATCTATGTGATGCACGACGTATTCGGCAAAGTTCGGCGAAGTTATCATTTTCATGGCAGGTTTTGATAAAATTATGTAATAAATATTACATGTTTCAGGGACAGTGTGTACAATACGCCTTGCTACTCAATGAGACGAAGTCACTACAATAATCGCTCTCACTTCCGGTACCATATCCTAGGATTTGATATATTTTCTTAGAGAAAAAAGCTACAGTACATTTACAAGGTTAACTGAGAGGCAAGGATAATAACATCTTCTACGTCTACATCGGGTCCGTAGCTAGTGTGACCGGCCGCTTTACTTCTTTCATCAGCGGCATTAAAAAGAATACCCGCTCGCCTCAGCCTGTACGTCGCTTTTGCCCACGCAGCCAGCTCTTCTTGCGTCATGTCGGGACAATCTGCTGCCTTCTGGATGAGGCCTCGCTTCTGCTGTATCTTCATCCAGCTCCCCATGGGTATAAACTAATGTGAATTATGATCTGAAGCCTATGATCACTGTGTTGTTCTTCAAATGGTTGGAGCTGAGATCATGTGCATTTTCACAGAAGTTCCTGTTATCCTGCCGTCACGTTCTCTACTTTCGGCCACACAACGGAAATTGGATTTCTTGATAAGCAAGAATAGTAGTTTCTTTGGGAAAAGGAGTCAGCAGCAGAAGCCCGAATTTCGCTAGTACTCCTGGTTCAGCAGGTGTTCCGGCGCGGTAGAGTCCACTCATTGTAGTGCCAAAGAGCGATGGACGAGTCCGACATATACAGCAACCCCAGTTCTCAAGTTTCCTCTAGCAGCTCAAGCAAGCAGCTCAACTCCAGAACTTCTCTAACCTCACCGCCTCCGTCGCCATGGCCCATCCACCCACATCGACGTCCTCGAACAGCGCATCTCCGGCGTTAGGCTCGCCCAGGCACCTGCCACCACCTACCTCAACGGCGTCAAGCGCTCGCCACCAATCACCACGCGCGGCCTCCACTTCGGAGAGTGCCCCGGCAGCACCTTCAGCGCCGACACTTGGATCAAGCGGCCGCCTCGGACGTTGTGGACCCTCTTAGCCCAAGCACTCATCCACCGACTACGACCGAATTGCCCGATAGCGCTGAACCACCGGCGGCGGAGTCCACGTGTTCGTCCGGAAGTGCGCCCCCGCCGGACTCTTCTCTCTCTCTCTGGACCGTCCGATTCCTTCGGTACGCGTCGACAATGAGGCACTGAGCGACGTGATCGTCATCGACGAGCCCGAACCTTTGTCCAGTGCAGCGGCACTGTCCCCGGGTCGCTCAAGCGCGCGCATCCGAGCGAAAGAAGTGGCCAAACGCATCAGGGCGGAATCGCGTAAGGCCAAGCGCGTAGACCCTGTGTCTGAAGCCGACCTTGCAGATGCCCGCAAAAAGAAGCGTAAAGCGTCGCGAAGCCCCGTACTGGTACTCCAACCACGGAACAAACCAACCCATCCGTCCGCAGTGAGACGGGTGATGCGCTTCCAATCCAGCCTCGACACCCTAACGCAGCATCTTCTCCATCGACTGAGCCTCTACCTGTCGTTCCAGACGCGACCTTCCCGGCACCACTACCCTGCGCGTTTCCCCCCGCTTGTGGAGACGACCAGCCAGGCCTCCAGGCGGCATACGCCAAGCAGGTGAGCACGGTGAGCGCTACGTCAACAGCGCTTCCGTCTCGTGGCCGTGAAGAACCTCTCCCTGGAACATCAAGCTCCGCCCCTGTGAACTCAGCATTCAACCTCGACGACTTTATGCGCGGTTTTCAGCCGGGTGGTCCGACGGTACCTGTTAGTACAGTTCCCCAAACAATCCACGGTCACCGTCAACTTGAAGATAAAGTTGATCAACTTTTTCAGCTATTTACCGAGCTGCGTCGCGAGCTCCACAGTAAGGAGACACCCATCTCTCGCGGTTCACCACTGTGTGGTAATGTAGACTTGGTGTCTGCTTCTGTCTCGACCACAGCCGATAGCGAGTCATCTACGTGGACCCTTCCACCGCTCGGCAACCCAGCTGACATGCCTCCGCGCGAGCTTCATCGACTTCGTTGTGCCAGTTTCATTGGCCCTCGTACTTGCACTAAAGGCGAGTACCACCCGCCTCAAGCACATCAGCTCGCGGCACACCGTACCTTCAAGGAACTAAACGCTGAGACAGGTAAGTGGTTGTCTCCAATGTCTTTTGTATTGCATTTGCGTGAACTCGACCGCGTCCGGTTCGACGCTCCACCTGCGGTGCTGATGGCAATTTACAGCGGCCGTCTAGGCTCAAGAGGCCTTACCGTCATGCACTTCCGACCACAATCGGAACTGGAGCAACTGCGTCGAGGCTCATCCAACGCGAACTTCTCAGTGGACTTCGGCGCGAGTGCGTCTCTACCGGTGATGAATGCCCAGTGCCAGACGTATGAAGACCTGCTGGCGGCAATTGGTGGATTAGTCTCGCTTGGAGACGCCCTATGGTACGATCATGTCCGCCGGCTTCTCTCGCGACTGAAGCGGTTTGTACTTGCTAACAAGGAGCGAGACGAGAACACACCCGAGCGTGTACTGCTCACGCTTCTTCACGTGAACCAATTCCTCGGCAAGGCTCTGGCTCACCTGATGATGGACGCTCCACACTGGTGGCGTGACGTTTCCGAGGCCGTGAGAGCCGTCGACTAACACAGTCCCGACTGGCAGGCAGCTTTTAATGGCCTCGCCCTCCGTCTGGTAGACAAGACACCAGGAGCTACTAGCTTTCCCTCAGCGACTGAACCTCGCCCAGCCCAGACGTCGGCAAACTCGTCCTCACGTCGTGGCCCATCCTCCCGTGTGCCGGTGATGCCGGACGACATTCGCCGCCTCATCCCACGCG